AATACCCCCAATTCAATACCCCCATACTTAGTACAGTTAACTCAGAGTACTTACAGAGATGTAGTATACAACTTAAACAGACTTTATACCCTATTATTTGTTGAAACACACATTTCCCCAAATAATCAGTGCAAACAACAACAAACCTACAATCAAATAATCTCATTTTTAACCCTAACCCTTTCCAGGAGAATTCTCTCCACATCCATGCATTGGTAGATGTGCGGTGTATCTTCTGTGTTTTGGCAATGACAAATCTCAATATTTTCTTTATCATTTTGTTTTTTTTACATCTTTACATCTCTTTAGTTGAATGTTACATCTTGATATTTTAATATCTATAACATTTTTTCTTCACCTTTTCTACTTTTTGTTTCTCTCCAGCATTATAAAACATAACTTATAATGCTCTCCAAACTTCGAGAGCTGCTGTGGGTAGCTCTACCTCTCTGTTACCCCTTCTGAAACTTCTCATGCGTTAATGTTACATTTAGCAAGACATGTTTATTAGTGTCAAATAAGAGTTGTTTTCCCTTGCGCTCTTTGTCTATTTGTTCTCAAACCTCTTTCATCTGGTATGGTGGCCTGGTGCTGTCAAACTTGTTTAAGTTTGAGTATCATTGGTGCAAAAATGAGTATCATTTCTGTTGGTATGAAATCCAAACCTAAATCACAACAACCATTTTTTAAACAAAAACAAACCAGCTGGCATATAGTTTGCCTCAGTTGCACAAAAGAAACTCACTTTATGTATTACTGTTGCATTTTGTAAGATGTGTTCTGTTTTTATTGCCAATTTTAGTGTCTAATATGAGTTGATTTGCTTTGGGCTCTTTTTCAACTTGGTCTCAAACCCATTTAATCAGTTTCTTTTTTAAAAGCACCTTTTGTCCAAATTGAATTATCAGTGGTGTGAAAATGAGTATTATATTATTTGGTATCATTTTAGAAAACTTTGAAGGTATGAAATGTAAATCTATAAGTGTTTGCCTCTGTGGTACATACATAAAGAACTATGTTACAAGAGGTATATTTCTTACCAGTCTGTGCCCTCAGCCAGGTAGCGGGGCTGCTGCACCACCGGCTGAGGAGGGACATGAAGAGGGGGCGCAAACTCATAGCCAGGCCGCAGTCTGTGGGGCTGGTGAGGAACTCTCTCTGGGGTGCGTCTGCTAAGAAAAATAGCCAATCATTTGTAAACATCCTAGAGTTTCAAACAGAAAGGGTCATAAATATGTTATCACTGTGAAATCCCCAACGGTCTGCTTGAACCAAGAGGTTAAGTGGAGACAGAGAAAACTAAACATTTCATCTTTCTTTTCTAAACTTTCCTGCAAACCCATGTGGATACCTGGAGGGTGGCAGGATGTGTCGGTGCTGGGCCTCGAGGATCTGCTGCTGGAGGAGGTATTGCTGGTGTAATGCCTGAGGTAGGAAGGGAGGGGCAGGGATGTCCTGGAACTGGGGAGTGGGCAAGGGGTTGAGGGGCGGGTGGAGCGGAGGGCCATGCTGGTGGCCGGGAGGGGCCAGGTGGGGGTTAATGCCTGACTGTGGCTGCCCTGGGTGGGGCATGGGGAAGTCCATGGGCAGCGGAGCCTGAGGACCTAACTGGAAGTGCCGGCAAGAGGTAGCATGGCTGTGCTGCTGCTGCTGCTGCTGCTGTTGCTGTTGCCGGTTGAAATGGGATCCTGTGGAGGATAAGGAGAACTTGTCAGGCACCTGAGGGGAGAGATTAGCTGGAATTAATTGTGGGTGAAATGTGGTGTCACTGTGTGTGTGATATAGCATGTTAATGAAGCCCTACCTCTTACCTAGGGTGAAAAATACTTCTGTGGGGGGTGGGAAAATGATGGTTACCACAAGTACCATGAACATGACAACCATTTTTGGTCCTGCACACAAAACGCGAGCTTTCATTTCATTAATTGTATTTCCGACCTCTGGATCGACTCCTGGTCTCCTGATTCACAGAACTGGATCAGAACAGATGAAATCTACCAGTACACGGTCTTCGACGCAGCTCAGTTCTTGTAAATTCTACAAGTGACAGTGGGTCAGTGCACTCAATAGTAAAAGCTTTAGTACCTGGCTGTCTGTAAGATATAAATTAAACTGCTTAAGTGCCAAATCTCTGTCTATATAATCATAAAGAACAGTCCCTTCCTTCTTAAAAAGTAAACCATTTACATTATTATTCTGTGCTTCCCGGAAACCTACTGTATCTTTGTGTCTTAAACATACAGCATAGGTCTACTTGTTCTTCTCCCATGTGAACATTCAGGAGTTGAGAGGAAATAGCTTGAATGCTTTTTTTACTCTCTCCAACCACAGCTATTTGGCAGCTGCAGTGAACAGACTGCTGTAGAGACTCAACAGGGAGAAAAAGACAGGCTAACTTGTGCTGTGGTGCAATATGGTTTTAATGCTGTGCTTAAGCCTAAAAAGACCTTTTTGACTATGAAAGGCTGAGAAATTGCAATAATAAATGTAGCTTTGATTAGAAACCTTTGAGGAAATCCTGGCCAGCCCTACTAGGCCTGCAGTGGAGCAGGATTCAATATACTGTGCTCTGTTATGTCCATCTGGCAGAAACTGAAGCAGTGAATTTTATGGAAACCTACCAGTTTCGAGATTAAAATTGTGCAGTTCTTACAGAAGATGTAAAATTCCAGTACGAGGTTCGAGTTTAATCTGCTTTTGAAGTGTGAAAGACATGACGAGTTCTTTAGTAAACAGTGGAAATTCTTTTAAAAATCATGAGGGAATAGGCAAAGTCTACATTGCATTTACTAGGAGTACGCTTGAAAAACACAGTATGGTTTTAAACACCCAGGAAACATAAGCAGTACGACTTTCCAGCAACATTTTCAGCTTGACAAGTCGTCAGTGCAGCCAGGCAGCCAAGAGGTGACCTTGCTGCCGTGGGTCAAAGGCTCAAGTCTCGACTGTGAGTACGTAGCACACTGCGTTTTCAAGCGTCTCAGTGAAAACAATCACCATGAATGACAGCAGATAGACTCATTCAGGCCCTGTGATGGAGGAAGCGTGGAAATTGTCTATCTTTGTCACAGCGGGAAAGGAGGTGGGTGGGGTGGGGGGTGGTAGGGGGAAGGGGTAGGTAGGGACAAGGGAGAGGGAGGACAATAAATGGAAATCAGCAAGAAGCACACTGAAGGTTAGGAAAAACACTATATTCTTTATTGAAAAATATTAGTATATGTGGAATTTGTGTTTTCTTTCTTGTATGTTTGTAATAATAGTATAAATCCATGCAACAAAAATAAACAACATAGACTGAAGGCAAGGCCCACCATGCTCCATATAGGGTTAAAAAGAACAAAAGCGGCATCCAATGAGCAGACGTGTTGGCTACAGCACATGATTCCAGTACAGCAGGGTACATCTTTACTACAGAAAGATTACATTGGATTTTCACTAGTCAATGTAGAAAAACAAAAAACAAAAATTATGAATCATAAATGTGACATGCATTGAAAGTACTATTACCAGAACAAAAGGTAAAGAGAGACCACAACCAAACAATAAAGACGTTATTACTAATAGAGGATCTCTTTAGCAGTGCAGGAAAAATAGGCATCCCTGTGAAATGGATAGCATTTTGGCCTTATGTTAGTGGGGAAAATTGGGAAGTGATGAACCACCAGTGAGCATGTTTTGCTTACTTAAATGTTTAGAGTTTCATTTGCCTGGAAGGGGCAAACAGCCCTGACAATTCAGTGTGATTCGAAGCTTGAAATTTGCAAAGGGAACAAAAGGATTACACAAAAATGGAGACAGTTATGGCAGGTTGTTGTGTGCAGGTGCAGTGTACCTTCAGTCATTTCAAGTTATCACATGACAGCGTTTGCTGAAATGCTGAGTTCAATAAAAATAATAATAATGGCATGCGTACAGCTCCAATCTGCATGCTTTTTTCAATTACGGGTCACTTTAATCGTGTACATTGCACCTTGTGTGAAGAGAAGGAAGATGAGCCAAATTCTGGTGTTCAACAATGCAGTGCAGTATTTAGGATCATGCAAAATGTATCCACTTTACAGGAATTTACAGCATGTTGTCTATCAAGACTGGATGGGAGGTACACAATGACATTCAACTGATATCTAAAAAAAGGAGCTAAAATGTTCACTCAGTGCTACAGCAATTTTGACAGAAAAAAAGACAAAAAAAAAAGGTGCTCTGTTCTAGGTGTTAGCTATTGTTTTAGTCTGCTTTAACATGGAAAAGTCTATGGCTGAATACATCTTGGGAAGGGGGGGGTGCTTTTTTAATACCAATGTCGTCTTCTGATGGAAAGAGGAAATGAAGAAGGGATTCACAATACAGCTAAATGCAGAGAACAGGCAGAGGCCACGCCACACCACACAGCAGCAGATGATCATTAGCTACACAATGGGGGGGACGACAAAGATCTGATAAATGCAGAATGTAGAGCCAGCCTCCATACTATGAAACAGGGAAATAAGAACAGAAATAAAAGCACAATGAAATCACTGACGCCACTGTTGTGAAATTAATGTTACACTGTAGCTTTATCATTGTTTAACACTGACCGCATACTCGGGTCTTTCTTTTGCAATCCGGCAGCTTCAAACAAACAGCTGCTGAATTGCCAATTAGCAAATAATAGAAAAAGGCGACTGATTCATTGATGGCACGGAAAGTCCACGCTCCTCGGGCAATTGGCCATGCATCGATTAGTGCATTGGCCAATTGACACGGATAATAAATTACTTTAAAAAAACAAACAAAAAAACACGGTGGAAAAACGGCGAGCGCTAGCAGAAGAAGGTGATCTTCAAATGACATCATCCAGGCACAGATAAGCTGACTGGCTGCAAAGGCTACGTCTATTTTGCGGTATTTTACAGTGCAAATAAACGAGAGCGCCTTGGGGGGGGGAATAACAATATATATATATATATATACACACACATCGTGAAGCTATAGTAGTATTAAAACCGCACGATTTAAACGTGGCTAACATCAAAATGCTGTCTAACGCGATTGTCTATGCAGGAATGTGTTTTTGACACCGGGTACTTCGGGACATGTGGAATCCTTTGTGAGAAATGTTTCCGTTCCAGCACATAGCCAGAGCCAACGAGCCAGTTAGCTTATCTTTTAGCGGCGGTAGTTGCTTTTAACCGTAATTACAACCGGCGAACTACTATTATTCGGTGCTTTAACGTAATCTGTAATGAATTGCAAATTAAAGCCGGGTAGTTTAATAATAATTTTAACTCGTTAATTTAAGGCTAGCTAACGCGAGCTAACCCGACGGCTGGGCTCGAGCTAGCTAGCCAACAGCTGCAGTGAATATTAAAATAAACAGGGCACATGTTTGTTGATCGATATGAATATTAATACCGTACCTCTGTTTCTTACTGAGCCGAATACAGGAAGAACCAGATATCCGACATGCACTAAGACCATCCTGGGATCCTTTATCTTATGATTCCGCTGGGTTATTTGGAGAGATGGAGGAGTCGTAGTAGCCCATGCGGATCTACATTCAGGCGGCTGCTTGTTGCTGGCTGGTTTAGCACCAAAGGCGAAACCCAACGAAACGACTGTCTGACTCGGTTGGTTGTCGCTGACAAAAGCAGACATGTCATTTCATGTCCGGGGCGAAAGAGGGCGATGTTGCGGCGCTATAACGTTACACACCAAAGCACGGATAACAGCCTGTTCGATATAAAGCGATTGTCACTGTATTAAGATGCTTTAATGTTTAGGGTGAAGCCATACACAGTGGATTAAATACAATAAAAATACAATATGTAGTCCTGAGACTCAGGCTATTCGTTTGTGTATTCTGTAGTGGACATTGTTTTTGGGCTATATCTCTTTACTTATTTTAGTTACCTTACTTTTAAAGTAAAGTAAAGTTTATTTAT